TTACCCTGGTCGTCCATATTAGGATGGTAGCAGGGTGTGAGGAACTTCACCAAGGGTGCATTGTAAGGGTGGGTAGCAACTCGGGAATTCCAGCAAGAGCTTATACCTCAGGTCTTCATATACTGTGCCAGCCGCTCCGTGGCTGGTCTCTACCCATTTGATAAGACTTTCAGGGAAGGCAGAAATTATTTTGTCACCAGATATCATGAGGGTCATCAGCGCCTGCTGTAGCCTTTTGCCTACAGGGCCCTGGGCAGTGCCCCTGCTGGGCTCAGCTCCTTTATGGGCAGTGGAGACACTGGCAGTGGCTGGGTCACAGTTCTGGGAGACTATCTGGGTGGCACTGGCAGACAAGAACTAAGAAAATGTGACTGCATCTGCGATCATCATGTATAATTTTTATTATATATATGGATATATATATAATAATAAATATAGTGAAAGAGGGAGAGAGAAAGATGGAGTCTTGCTCTTGTCGCCCAGGGACTACAGGTGCGCACCACCACACCTAGCTAATTTTTTTGTATTTTTAGTAGAGACAGGGTTTCACGACGTTGGCCAGGATGGTCTGGATCTCCTGACCTCGTGATCCGCCCGCCTTGGGCTCCTGAAATGCTGGGATTACAGGAATCAGCTAACGTGCCCAGCCAGGTTGTCGCTTTTAATGTGCTTTGCTTTTATGTAGAAGAGTAAAACAAATTTTTGCCTTTAAATTTAATTATTGCTTTTAATGATTTGTGCACCCCAAATTTCTTAAAATAAGCTGTTTAAAAAATAATCTAGGGTCGGGCATAATAGTTTATGCCTGTAATCCCAGCACATTGGGAGGCAGAGGCAAGCTGATGATTTGAGCTAAGGAGATTGATAACAGCCTAGGTAACATTTCAAAACACTGTGTCGATAAAAAATGCAAAAATGAGCCAGGCCTGGTGACTGCCTGTAGTCCCAGTTACTCAGGAAGCTGAGCGGGCAGGATCGCTTGAGCCCTGGAGGTCGAGGCTGCAGTGAGCTGTGATCATGCCACTGCACTCCAGCCTGGGCAGCAGAGCAAGATTCTGTCTCCAAAAATAAAAACTATGTATACGTGTGTGTGTGTGTGTGTGTGTGTGGTATGTGTGTGTATCTATATATGTATGTATGTGTGTGTGTGTATATATATATATATATATAATATGTCTTTTTATGTGTAGGTTTGATTTAATTTTCAATTTTTTTTTTTTTTTTTTTT